CCAAGCTTGAGTTAGGAACACCTTCTCTCTGGTGTGGAGCACAGGGTACTTATCTCTGGCACACGTCTTATCACACTGGACTGAAATTCTTTGTCACTTCCATGGGCACGAGAGCTCCCTAAAAGCAGAGACAATGTTGTTGCCCTCTATATTCCCAGATACCTGGCATAGTACTTACAATACACTAAATTCTCAGTAAAATTTAATGAATGTTGATTCTTTTTCATTTGGTCCTCCTAACAACACTGGGACACTAACATTATTTCCAACAGTACCCTGGAAAGTAGTGATTCCATTTAACTTAACCTAAGACTAAGAATAAAACAACCATGAGGGATATAGTAAATATAGAAATATATATAATTCACAAACGAGGAGAGGAGAAAGAGTAAAAAGGTGGGAAGTGTGTAACATGTTGATTTTCTCTAAGTTATAGCTGAGGTTGCAAAGTTAGGTTTTAAAGCTGACAGATCAAGTGATAAATATAGAACCACATTTCAAGATACAGAAGTAAACATTAGAAGAATATAAAAAAAAGTTTAATTTAACTCAGGTTTTAGAGGGCAGACAGTAGAAATAAAAAGGACCTATTGTTCATAGTGGAGAAGTATATATATATATATATATAAATGCATAGTATGTATATTGAAAAGAAATAGAGAATAATTTTTTTTTTTTTTTTTTGAGACAGAGTTTTGCTCTTGTTGCCCAGGCTAGAGTGCAATGGCATGATCTTGGCTCACTGCAACCTCTGCCTCCTGAGTAAGTGATTCTCCTGCCTCAGCCTCCCCAGTAGCTGGGATTACAAGCATGCGCCACCATGCCTGGCTAATTTTGTATTTTTAGTAGAGATGGGGTTTTTCTCCATGTTGGTCAGGCTGATCTCGAACTCCCGACCTCAGGGGATCCGCCCACCTCAGCCTCCCAAAGTGCTGGGATTACAGGAGTGAGCCACCACACCCGACAAGAATAAAATAGTTTACAGAAAGTTATGGCCCATGTTGGCCCAGCATGGTGGCTCACATCTATAATCCCAGCCCCTTGGGAGGCTGAGGCAAATGGATCATTTGAGGTCAGGAGTTTGAGACCAGCCTGGCCAACATGGTAAAACCTTGTCTCTACTAAAAATGAAAGAAAAAAAAATTACCTGGGTGGGGTGGCACTCACCTATAGTCACAGCTACTCGGGAGGCTGAGGTGAGGATTGCTTGACCCCAGAAGGTAAAGGCCGCAGTGAGCCATGATTACTCCTCTGCACTCCAGCTTGGGTGACAGAGGGAGACCCTGTCTCAACAACAACAACAACAAAAAAAAAAAAAAAAAAGAAAGAAAGAAAGAAAGAAAAAGAAAGAAAAAAAAAAAAGAAGAAAAGAAAGTTATGGTAACATCTAGCCTAAAAACAACATAGAATGCAATTTTTTATATCTTTAGAAGGAATACATATAAATATAAAATACAAACATAAAAAAGATATCAATCACATAATAAAAGATAAAAACCAAGAAACCGCCGGGCGCGGTGGCTCAAGCCTGTAATCCCAGCACTTTGGGAGGCCGAGGCGGGTGGATCACGAGGTCAAGAGATTGAGACCATCCTGGTCAACGTAGTGAAACCCCGTCTCTACTAAAAATACAAAAAAAAAAATTAGCTGGCATGGTGGCACGTGCCTGTAATCCCAGCTACTCAGGAGGCTGAGGCAGGAGAATTGCCTGAGCCCAGGAGGCGGAGGTTGCGGTGAGCCGAGATCGCTCCATTGCACTCCAGCCTGGGTAACAAGAGCGAAACTCCGTCTCAAAAAAAAAAAAAAAAAAAGAAGAAGAAGAGAGAGGAAGCTGGGCGCGGTGGCTCAAGCCTGTAATCCCAGCACTTTGGGAGGCCGAGGTGGTTGGATCACGAGGTCAAGAGATCGAGACCAGCCTGGTCAACATGGTGAAACCCCGTCTCTACTAAAAATACGAGAAATTAGCTGGGCATGGTGGCATGTGCCTGTAGTCCCAGCTACTCAGGAGGCTGAGGCAGGAGAATTGCCTGAACCCAGGAGGCGGAGGTTGCGGTGAGCCGAGATCGTGCCATTGCACTCCAGCCTGGGTAACAAGAGCGAAACTGTGTCTCAAAAGAAAAAAAAAAAAAAAAGGAAGAGAGGAAGCTGTGGCAGGGGATGGGCATGGAGGTAGGGATGCCTCTGAGCCCTACCAATATTCTACTTCTTGACCTGCATTGGTGATTATACAGTGTTCCTATTATAGCAATTCATTAAACTGCATTTTTAATGCAATTTTTATAATGCATTTTCATTTAACAGTAAAAATTTTTTTTTTAAATGAGACAGTCTCACTCTGTAGCCCAGGTTGGAGTGCAGTGGCCCTATCTCAGCTCACTGTAACCTCCACTTCCCAGGTCCTGGTTCAAACAATTCTCCTGCCTCAGCCTCCTGAGTAGCTGGGATTACAGGCATGTGCCACCATGCCCAGCTAATTTTTGCATTTTTAGTAGAGACAGGGTTTCACCATGTTGGCCAGACTGGTCTTGAACTCCTGACCTCCTGATCCCAAAGTTCTGGGGTTACAGGTGTGAGCCACCATGCCCAGCCAAAAACATTTTTGAAAAAGTAAAGTATAACAGCTTCTAAAAATTTCTGACTTTTTTTTCTTTTGAGATGGAGTTTTGCTCTTGTTACCCAGGCTGGAGTGCAATGGAGTGATCTTGGCTCACCGCAACCTCCGCCTCCTGGGTTCAGGCAATTCTCCTGCCTCAGCCTCCCGAGAAGCTGGGATTATAGGTACGCACCACCATGCCCAGCTAATTTTTTTTTTTTTTTTTTTTTTTTTGTATTTTTAGTAGAGACGGTGTTTCACCATGTTGACCAGGATGGTCTTGATCTCTTGACCTTGTGATCCGCCCACCTTGGCCTCCCAAAATGCTGGGATTACAGGCGTGAGCCACCGTGCCCGGCAAATTTCTGACTTTTTTAACTTGGAAAGATATTCGAGAATTTTTACTGTAAGAATGTACTGCTGGGCGCGGTGGCTCAAGCCTGTAATCCCAGCACTTTGGGAGGTCGAGGCGGGTGGATCACGAGGTCAAGAGATTGAGACCATCCTGGTCAACGTGGTGAAACCCCGTCTCTACTAAAAATACAAAAAATTAGCTGGGCATGGTGGCGCGTGCCTGTAGTCCCAGTTACTCAGGAGGCTGAGGCAGGAGAATTGCTTGAACCCAGGAGGCGGAGGTTGCGGTGAGCCGAGATCGCACCATTGCACTCCAGCCTGGGTAACAAGAGCGACACTCTGTCTCAAAAAAAAAAAAAAAAAAAAAGTACTTATTGTAGAAATCTTCTGAAAATCAAAGACACAAAAAACATTGCAATGATAAAAATCAACCAAGTACATATATCTGTGCATAAAAATTTTTATCAGTCACTCCTTTAGCAAATTCACTTCTCCCAAAGGCTATCAGTCTTAATACTCGTTTTCATAATGTTACTATACCTTTGCTTTAAGATAATTTGTGCTTCATTCACTCAAAGCTAACTTTTAAATTTTAAACAACAAATCCACAGATCATAAAAAGGGTTCATTCTAAGATGAAAAAGCATTCCAGAGTTTGGTGGCATTATTTCAGAGTTTAATAAAGAGTTTAAAACATCTAATTTTGTAAAACTTCTGTTAACTTGATATTAACTATTTTTAGAACAAAATGCAAAATGTGAAACATTTACTATTGAGTTTCTAATAGTCATTGGGTAGGCAAGTGTCAAGAAAAGAGAAATGATTAACATTAGAATAAACCAGGGACAATTTTGTTCTCCAGGAGACATTTGGCAATGCCTGGAGACATTTATGTTTGCCACAATGAAGAAGGGGTAGTATTAATGGCATACAGTGGATAAAGGCCAGGGATGCTGTTAAGTATTCTACATTGCATAGGACAGGCACTGTAAAAGAAATCAATGACAGTCTTAAAGCACGGCAAGGAGGACTTTATTCAAGATCATTGCCGTATGGATAGGAACCATTGCAATAAGGTTTCGCAGTTGGGGAGAGAGACTGTGCTCAACTCTGTACACAGCATGGGAAATGTGGGAATTCATAGACAAGGAAAAGGGTAGGATAAGTGAATAGAAAACTGCTAAGAAGAAGCATCAAGGATAAGGAGGACTTTGGCTAACACAACGGAACACGATTCTTGCTGATGACAGGCTAGGGTTATGAGAATTCATCTAAGGGATGCTGGAGGATGAGGAACATATCGATGGTGATCATGTATCAAGGATTCGGGTGGTGGGGGGCAGTCACTAAACTGAGGAAAAAGGTTTGTTGCTAAGTCTGATTTTATAAGAAAGTATATAGACAGGCCGGGCGCGGTGGCTCAAGCCTGTAATCTCAGCACTTTGGGAGGCCGAGGCGGGTGGATCACAAGGTCAAGAGATCGAGACCATCCCAGTCAACATGGTGAAACCCCGTCTCTACTAAAAATACAAAAAATTAGCTGGGCATGGTGGCGCGTTCCTGTAATCCCAGCTACTCAGGAGGCTGAGGCAGGAGAATTGCCTGAACCCAGGAGGCGGAGGTTGTGGTGAGCCGAGATCGCGCCATTGCACTCCAGCCTGGGTAACAAGAGCGAAACTCCATCTCCAAAAAAAAAAAAAAAAAAAAAAAAAAAAGAAAGTATACAGACAGGCCTAGAAGAAGATTCAGGAGCCTGGATAAAGTTTGATCAAGCAAAGAATTTTTATCACCCTTCATAACACAGAAGTATCTGGCCCAATATGTAAATAGTGCCCAGGATGAAAAACGAATCAAGAGACAGGAGTCATCACATATTGTTAAGCAAAAAAGTATATTATAAAAGATTAAAATTAGTGATTTCCGTTTTGTTAAAAAAAAACTCCAAACAACTGTGCGTATGTATTGTGTGTGTGTGTGTGTATATATATATATATGTGTATTCACAAAAATGTTAACAATTGTTGGCTTGGAATGATGAAATCATGATGAATTTTATTTACTTTTGCTTTATTTTGTTCATCTGTAATTTCTTATTTTTCTATAGTTAATTACATTACTTGAACAATAAGAAAAATACAGTTTGATTTCTACCAAAGATAGAACATTGGCTGCAGCATCAGTAAGAGCAGGGTTTGAACACTAGTTGTTTCTCTCACATTTTAACCTTCTGGGATAATTGTAAATGGGGAAATGATATTTCACAGACTTGCTCCTTTTCTCCTACATAGTTTAAATACAACTATATACATATATGTATATACACACATATATACACACACACACCCCACTGTAATAGAAAAAAATTAATTTATTTTACAAATATCTTTAATGTTTGAGGAAAGTATATTTAATTACAGGGTAAGAAGATTGATGAAAATGTGTGAGGATTCTGAAGGTGATCTCTAGGCATTTTCAGACTGGAGCCTCCCATTTACCCCTATTTCATACTTAAAAACTGATTCAATAATGATTTTTGTTTATTTGTTTTGTTGCCAGGCATTGAACTAAGTACAAGAACAAATGAAGAAAAAAATTTTTAAAAATCTCTATCCTCAAAGAAGTCTAATTAATAAGTGGAGAATGACACAACCAACCAGTCATAATGCAATGTATTAAACACTATCATAGACATATTCACAAAATAATATGGGAACAAAGAGCAGGAACTGAGTGTCTTACTAGTATCCTTTAGTATGATACTATACTCATGTTATCATTATAATTCGATGTCTTTTTTGGTTCTGAAATAAAATAAGCACCTTTCTAATAATAAACAGGAAAGAGAAGGAAAAAAGTATGAATATGAATGTATAGAAGGTGCCTAAAATAGAATCACAGTGCTGTGAACAGTAACAAGCAGAAGTTAAAGGATAAGCTATGCACAAAATCTCCCTGAAGGCAGGAAGGCAGGTGGTGGAGTGAAGTTGAGTCAGCCTCCGTTCTGTTACCATCAGATGGTTCTCAAATGCCTGGCTGGCATCTGGACTCGGAAATAGCAGATGAAAGGACACGGAGTGGGAAGAAAAGGAATCAGTATGGGATCAGCAAGTTATACCTTGGATTGGGATGGGATTCTTCTAATTCAAAAACGTGCCTATATTCAATAATTGTAACTATTTAGAACAGTAGTAGTCTTCTCTACTATCAAGAAGTGATTAAGGAGTAAACATGTTCTGGAGGTAGGGAGATTCTTGGGATAACAGAAATGCCTGTGCTGAGTAAGAACACAATTGCTTCAGAATATGCAATGCTTTCAACGCTGAATACAGGGTTCCAAATGGAGTCAACATCAACTAAGGAATATAGCGAAAGGGTGCAGCAGAGTGTAAGCTGTAATTAAATGTAGATCCTTGGTTTGACAGAGAACACCTCAAGCAAGTTTGTTGTTTATATCTGATTTAGAAGGCAATGAGAAACCATACAAGATATGATAGTGCTTTCTTCACATTTTCAAAAATATCTTATTTTGATCAAAAGGAGTTAGGAAGAACCTGCATGGTGGAGTATAATAGATATAATAACAGGACTATTCGGGCCAAAATTAGTTACCAGCTTCATTTTCCTACTATGTGGAGGGGACAGAGCTGAGGGAAGGGGAAGAGAATAAGGCATTGAGTGGCGTTCCACGAATGGTGTGTGCCAAATACCAGTTTGAGCACAGGGACTGAAGCTGGAAGGAAACAGCTTGAGCCTTATGCTATTCCCTAGCCCTGAAACACAATTCGAGTCCAGCCGGTTCGGCCCCATCTGTCAGGTCAGGGAAGCCTTTCCTTTCCTCCTCTTCCCCACCTCCGACCCTCCCCAAAGCGGTCTCCCGCTATGGGCTCTCAAAGTTGTAATCAAAAAACGTGTTTTGTAGTTAACTATCCAGTCCGTCTCCACTTCCGGACTCCAACAAACCTCTCACCCTCAACGTCTTCAGAAGGTCAGTGACCCCGGCAGTTTTACCGACCACAGGGTGGGGGCCCCTCCAGCACCTGGCGGTATTGATAGGAAAGTCGACGAGCAGCGAATGAACGCAGGAGCGAGTTCGTGTTCCGCTGCGAATACTGCCAGGCCCCAGGAAGCACCCAGTCAGCAGCAATGATCGGCGTTCGCCGCATCATTTAATTCTTACAAAACCACAGCACGGATTCAACCCCAGCACCGGGGTCTAGAAAACCGAGGAGAGGGACGCAACCCGCAGGAGGTCTGGCGGCCCGAGAGCCGCAGCGCCGGGCCTGGGACCAGCCCGGCCCACTTCCCCGGCGGGTCTTCTCGGCTCCCCGCCGGCCGCCCCAGGTGCAGCTCCCTTCTGCGGTGAGAAGGAGGCTCCCGGCGGGAAGCCGCGTCGAGGGCGACCCAGGGCCCGCACGGAAAATGCCAGGGGCCGCGTCAGCGCAGCAGGCTGGAACCCCGCTCCTAGCCACAGACGCCGTTCCGCCAGACGGCCGCACTCAGCGAAGGGAATCGGGTGCCGGCTCCTGGAACGCAGGAGACCGCGCGGGACTTCAGCAGCGGCTTCGGGCACTCCGTCTTCCCCAACCCGGCCCCGCGGCCTGCGGCCGCTCTAGCACACCAAAGGGCCTCTTCTCGGTGGTTGGGGCTGGGCCGCCCCGCGCCGGGAGCAGCCCACCTCTGGGCTAGGCGGGGCCTGGCCGGAGTCTGGGAGAAGGGCTGGCCTCCCATCAATCTTCGGTCAGCGAACGGAGCAGGAGCTGGGAGAAGGCGCGAAGGAGGGGATGCGCATGCTGCCTGCTCCGGGAAAAACTCAGCCAGCAGCTCCATCAGGTTTTGCGAAAAATTCGACCCTCCTTTGCAGCATGGCAAAAGAAAGTAAACTACCATTTCTTAGTGTTTTATTTTCAGCTGATTTTTTGTTTCTTTGGTTTTGATTCTAATTCTTGCTATAGACGCCTTCAGATGGTGGAAGCCAAGGAAAGGAACCCCTGACCGCAATTTCCTAACCTTTGGACAGAGTGTGGGGTATGGGGACTCCCCGACTTCCGTTTCGTTCTTTCCTCCATACAGACCCAAAAGCCTTTAAAAATGACCTAACACCAGCTCTATTATCTATACTGTAGCCTACTCAGCTAATTAATTCAGAAATTTATAATTTATAATTACACATCAAAAAAAAATCAGAAAAAAGAAAAAGTTAAACCACTGAAACTACAAACATTAAAAATGAACAGTTCTTAGGGCCGAAATCTCTGAATGTGAATGTGGCAGAGATCCCTCTTGAAACCTCTGTATGAGGTAAACAGAAATGGCTAGAGAAAATGAACTGGTATGTATATTTCTAAATATACTACTATCAACTAAAAAATAAACTTTAATGATTAGCTTTATTGAAGAGACATGCAATAATTCTTAAATGTTCTGCAATTAAAAGTTTTACGTCATGAAGGCAGTTTAGAAGATTACAGAAAAATGGTGAAGCATGACTTCTTCATATGCGTATTCTTCGTTCAAAAGCCGTTTGCAGGCTTTTGAAGCCTAATCTCACTTATTTTGAAGAGTACTCTGATAAATATCAATACCGAAATCAAATGTTTCTTTGTGTTTAGACAGTTATAGGTAGAAAATTCTTGCAAGCAGGGGGAAAAAAAAAAAAAAAAAAAAGATGCCCCTGGCTGGTGAAGAACCCCAAGGAATTCAGCTTCAGTTGGAAAATTTTAGAGCTATTTTGCAATACTTATTAACGAGCTTATTGTATTATTCATTTTAGAAATTTGCTTTGGCTATCTTTTATTCTTAGTGGCTCCCTCTAATAACATCCTCATTTTATCGCTATGTGCATAATGATGTTCTTTAGTATATCCAAGAGAGTTTTTGATACTGGAATTTGCAATGACTCAAGTTTCACTCCAGCAGCTTGAAAGAATGATAATGAGGTGCTCTCCTTTTTTTAAATTTATACTACCCTTCCAGGCATATAGTGTCATTTAAAAGTTGATATTATTCTTCTAGATTTTCTATTCAGCAACGAAATGCGAAGCAATGATTGTTCCCCTAAGAACAACTTTAAATTTTCTAAAAGCTATCATAAGGACTTTCTTTGTATCCCAAACTCTGAGAGTATCATTTGGGAATTTTAACACAATATGCTTGAAAAACAGATAAAAGGGAAGGTTCTAAATTAAAATGTGTGAATGAAAATCTATAATCTGGCACGAAATCAGTAGTGATATGGTGGGTGGCAAATAGAATTGCAGAAAGAAAGTGATCTGGTTGCCTGGAGCTTGCATTAGTAAGACTCAACCCTAGTTCAACAAAGCTCTGTACTTAAACCACAAAAACAGAAAGAAAAATGGTGTCTGAAGCTGAGAAGCCCAAGTAGAAGAAAATACTTAAAATAATAGTAACAGTAAGCAACATTTATGCAGCATTTATTAAATGCCAGCCACCTTGATAAATATTTTACAGGCATGATGCCATTTAATCCTCAAAACCACCTTGTGAAGTTGGAGCTGTCATTGCCCTCATTTTACAACTAGATTACTAAGACTTAGCTAAGTAATTTCCTCAAGGTCATATAGCTGGAAAGTTGTGGAGCAAGTTCTCAAACTTGGGTTTGCCTATCAGCCAAGTTATTTTTTACTTTAAAAGATCTAATCTTCTCTACTGTTTTTGTCATTTTGCATGGATGTTAGTCATCCCTCCTTACTCTCACAGTCACTCTTCTTATTTTTAATTTTTTACTTTTTTTTGCGACGGAGTCTTGCTCTGTAGCCAGGCTGGAGTGCAGTGGTACAATCTCGGCTCACTGCAACCTCCGCCTCCTGGGTTCAAGCGATTCTTCTGCCTCAGCCTCCTGAGTAGCTAGGACTGCAGGTGTGTGCTACCACACCCGGCTAATTTTTGTGTTTTTAGTAGAGACTGGGTTTCATCATGGCGAGAACTCGATCTCTTGACCTCATGATCCGCCCGCCTCGTCCTCCTAAAGTGCTGTGATTATAGGCGTGAGCCACCGCGCCCGGCCCCACTCTTCTCCTTTTTAAGAACTAACTGGCAAGGCAGCATAGATAATGGTTTTATAAGGAATGTGCCTGCTGCGTTCGATTACTTGGATTCAAATCACAATACCTACACTAAAAAGTTGTGAGATTGTGAATCATGGATTTGACCTCTATCTGCCTCATTTTTTACATCTGTAAATAGGGATAATACCAGTACCAACCCCACAGGTTTTTTTTTTTTTAAGACTTAAATGAGGTGGTGTGTGTAAAAGCACTTGGTATATAACTAAGCATAAAGTAAGTGCTCAGTACATATTAGTTTTTGTTAGGGACCAGGAGTACATATGATAACATTCTCCAACAAAAGCCTGTGAAGAAGCAGAGGCCCAGCTGACATTTGTTTAGAAGGAAATGAAACACTGGACCATAGACCCCTTTGGACCTTTTGAGTCGTTGCCCCAGAGTTGAGGAAGAGGAGATGAAGTTAAAGATTATTAGTGACTAAATTGCAAGGTATAAATGCTATCAGGAAAGTAATTTTGCTGTATTTCATACCATTGATGATGGACTAAGTACTAAAGAGGTTATTCTAAATGTGGGCATTGATTATCATTACTAAATAGGTAGCAAAAGCTCGGACTCACTCTGCAAGGAAAAAAGCATTTATAAAGATTGCCGCCGGGCACGGTGGCTCAATCCCGTAATCCCAGCACTTTGGGAGGCCAAGGCGGGTGGATCACGAGGTCAAGAGATCGAGACCATCCTGGTCAACACAGTGAAACCCCGTCTCTACTAAAAATACAAACAATTAGCTGGGCATGGTGGCGCGTGTCTGTAATCCCAGCTGCTCAGGAGGCTGAGGCAGGAGAATTGCCTGAACCCAGGAGGCAGAGGTTGCAGTGAGCCGAGATCATGCCATTGCACTCCAGCCTGGGTAACAAGATCGAAACTCCGTCTCAAAAAAAAAAAAAAAAAGATTGCCTTGGCTTCTTTATAATCAAACCTTGCTTATAAGAGTTTTTGGGGCCGGGCGCGGTGGCTCAAGCCTGTAATCCCAGCACTTTGGGAGGCCGAGGCGGGTGGATCACGAGGTCTAGAGATCGAGACCATCCTGGTCAACATGGTGAAACCCCGTCTCTACTAAAAATACAAAAAATTAGCTGGGCATGGTGGCACGTGCCTGTAATCCCAGCTACTCAGGAGGCTGAGGCAGGAGAATTGCTTGAACCCAGGAGGCGGAGGTTGCGGTGAGCCGAGATCGCGCCATTGCACTCCAGCCTGGGTAACAAGAGAGAAACTCCGTCTCAAAAAAAAAAAGTTTTTGGTAGGTCTTTCTCACACAGATAATCTTCATAGTCATTAATGCTGCATCGTGGTTTGAAGCCTCGTATATGAACATCTGGAGTCAGAAAACAGATACATGTGGATGTGATTAACTAAAGTTTATTTTAAAAAGGATTTACAAAAGGATTTCTTCAAATCTGTTATTTTTAACCTTTTTGGCATTTGGGTTCTGCTAGGAATCAAAAGAGTGCTGTTGAACTAACAATAGCTAATGGTTACTAAATCTTACCATTCTAAATCCTTTATACGTATTAGTGTACTTATTTTCAAGACAAACCTTCAGATTTGTTTGTATTATTATCCTCATTTTATGGATGAGGAAAGCTGAAGCATACAGGTTATGTAACCAGAGTAGAATTATCCAGGTAGCAAGTGACTGAGCTATAACTTAAACCAAGCAGGGTTGCTCTAGAGCAGGCGTCCCCAAACTTTTTACACAGTTCACTGTCCCTCAGACCATTGGAGGGAGGGCTGCCACATACTGTGCTCCTCTCATTGACCACCAATGAAAGAGGTGCCCCTTCCTGAAGTGCGGCAGGGGGCCGGATAAATGGCCTCAGGGGGCCACAGTTTGGGGACGCCTGCTCTAGAGCCAAATGAGTCTTAACCATTTCTCCCGGAAAACTGTGCCTCTTATATGCTCATATAGTTGTTCAATTTCCCATACAGTTTTGAGGCACATGGATTCCATTAAAACCAACTGTAAATTCCATGATAACCTGCTACCAATAGTGAGTACTTCTAGCACATTTAGAATATCTTAATTATGAAAATATAACTTAGAAACAATCTTTTAGAAAAAAATTAGTAATAAAAGGGTGCTAAAGTTTTGAAATACTAAACTCTATATAGAGGCTGGGTGCAGTGGCTCACACCTTTAATTCCAGCACTGTGGGAGGCTAAGTTGGGCAGATGATTTGAGGTCAGGAGTTTGAGACCACCCTGGCCAACACAGTGAAACCTCATCTTTACTAAAAATACACACACACACACACAAATTAGCAGGGCGTGGTGGTGCACACCTGTAGTCCCAGCTAGTTGGGTGGCTGAGGCAGGAGAATCGCTTGAACCCAGGAGGCAGAGGTTGCACTGAGCTGAGATTGTGTCACTGCGCTCCAGCCTGGGTGACAGAGTGAGACTCCATGTCAAAAAAAAAAGAAAAGAAAAGAGGAAAAGAAAAGAAAACTCCGTATAGAATCTCCACACTACCTGCCCTCTGTTAGAAAGTCATAAGCAGCGCTGTAGCTGCTTGTAGCAAAAATCAATAGTAGAGATTAGCACCCAGCCCTTGAGAAGGGCTTTTATGCCACTTCAACTATGTAGTTCCAGTGGAAACTGCCATGTTTTTGCATAATTCTGCCAACTGTTGATACTTGACTGATCTTGATTTGTTTTCTTCCTTCCTTCCTTCCTTCTTTTTACTTTCCTTCTTCCATTCCTTCTTCCTTTGTTTTCCTTTCCTTTCTCCCTCCTTTCCTTTCTTTTCTTTTTTCCTTTTTCTTTTATCCTTTCTTTTATTTTCCTTTTTCCTTTGTCTTCCTTTTCCCTTTCCTTTCTTTTGACAGGTCTTACCCTGTCACCTAGGCTGGAGTGACTCGTGTTCATAGCTTACTGCAGCTGCAACCTCCCAGGCTCAAGCAGTTCCTTGGCCTCAGCCTCCCTAGTAGCTGGTACCATAGGGGTGCCCTACCACACCCTGCTAATTTTTGTATTTTTTAGTAAAGATGGATTTCACCATGTTGCCCAGGCTGGTCGTGAACTTTTGGGCTGGAGCAATCCACCCACGTCAGCTTCCCAAAGCCCTGGGATTGCAGCTATGAGGCATAGCGCCGGGCCTGATCTTGATATTTGATATGTGAAAGAGGAGTCAATCGGAGTCCTTCTTGAATTTTTTTCTTTCTTTTTTTTTTTTTAAAGACGGGGTTTCACCATGTTGGTCAGGCTGGTCATGAACTCCCGACCTCAGGTGATCCAAAGTACTTGGATTGGCCTCCAAAGTACTTGGATTATAGGCGTGAGCCACCGCGCCCGGCCAAATTTTTCAAACTAGAATTGTTAAGATTTTTTTCCCCTCTTCCATACTAGTAGCTATGAATTATGAAACTTGAATACTGTCAGTGCCACATAGAAGAAACTGTTCTACAGAGTTTGTTAGCATGTCTATGTGTATGTGCATGTAACAGGAAGAATATGAAAGAGTAAAAATGAGGGATAAGGAAAAATATAGGGGAGAGAGAAAGTGAATTGTGACTACTGCCTAGACCTTGGTTTAGTTGTTTCTGCATATCTATGTACTCCTAGCACTGTGGTCATTCACACTTATTCCAAATATATGACATCTTTCAAATACTTTGCCCTGTTTGCCTAAAGGTACTTAATTTGGGTTTCTGGCATTTGCACCAGAAAATTCCTAACACACACTTTTAAACTCATCACATTGAAATTACTTATGTAATTTCAATTATGAAATTATATATTACACTATAAAATTACTGTTTTATTATCTTATTGTGATAGGCAGAATTTTAAGATGGCCCCCAAGAGACCCAGCAGGGTAGCACTATGCTTATAATCCCAGCTACTCAGAAGGCTGAGGCAGGAGGATAGCTTGAGCCCAGGAGTTTGAGACCAATCTCAGCAACATAGCAAGACCCCCATCTCAAAAAATAAAAAGAAAATAGCCAAACCACACATGTAAGACAGATCCCAAAGTTCCTGCCCATTGACACATGTTTGGTATAATCTCCTCCACTTGAATATGGGTGCAACTTGTGAATATGATGGGATTTCACTCCCATGATTACATTACTTTGTGTGGCAAAGATTCAAAGGCAGAGAATTGCTCACCTGCTTGCTTTGCAGAAGATGAAAGCCACCATGAGTTCTATAGCTGCATGGGACTAAATTTTGCCAACAGCCTGAGTGAGTATGGAAGACCCGGAGTTTGGATGAGATCATAGTCTGAGTGGAACTCTTGATGGCAGCCTTGTGAGAACTATGCAGAGGCCTCAACCATGTCTTACCTGAACTGCTGACCTACAGAAATGTGGGATAATAAATGGGTACTATTCTAAGCCACTAAGTTTGTGGTAATATGCTATGCAACAAATATTATATATTCAGGGAAGAAAAATAGGACAAGTTTTGTCAAAGAAAATGCATGTTCTTCCATGAACATTAAAAGACCAAAAAAAAAAGGTACTTCAGCTCCCAAGGTGTAAGTGTTATGGGCTGAACTGTGTCCTCCCAAAATTCATATATTGAAGCTGAGTCCCTCAGAATGTGACTGTATTTGGAGACAGAGCTTTTAAAAAGGCAAGTAAGTTAAAATGAGACTGCTAGGGTGGTCTCTAATACACTAAGCCTCTAACATTGTCTGATTTTAGCTTGTGTGTGATGAATTTCCTTCAGCGATATGTTATCATCCCTTGACATTGCCTCTTGCAAGCATCACGCTGCTGTGGTTTGGATGCTTGATCTAATACTTCTGAACACGTCTATTACATTCATTTCTTAGTTTTTCTGTTTTGCTTGGTTTTCAATCTTAAAATATTATGTTTCATTTATATTAAAAATATTATTGAGCTGACATTATGAGTATTCATAAATGCCTTGGTGTATGTATTAGTTAGCTGAGGCTGCAATAACAGAGTGGCACAGACTGGATGACTTAAATAACAGAAATTTATTTTCTTATAGTTCTGGAGACTAGAAGTCCATGATCAAGGTTTTGGTAGGATTGGTTTTCTCTGAGGCCTCTGGGCTTGCAGATGGGTGCCTTCTCTGTGTCCTTAGATGACCTTTCTTCTGTATGTGAGCATCCCCAGAGTCTGTGTGTCTCAATTTCCTCTTCTTATAAGGAAATTAGTCACATGCTAACCATATCATTTTAACTTAAATCACCTTTTCAAATGCCCTGTATCCAAATACAGTCACATTGTAAGGTAAGGAAATTAGGGCTTCAACATATGAATTGGGAGGAGTACAGTTTAGCCCTTAACAGCATAACTTTTTGGGGATGGGGAGCATATCGTAATGCCAAGTTTCCATTATTTCCCGAGCATGCTGTACAAACTCTTTCTAAAGATTGCTTAAGAAATATTATGTTTTAATTTTGTACATTGGACTCCAGAGTATCCAATGATTATTTATGACTCTAAACTTTCAATATACCGAAATGAAAAGGTATTTGAATCTCTTCACATGCCAACCATTTGGAGAGAAAGAGCGAGTCAAGTACAGACCCCTTTTCCTAAAGTTTCGTTATTTCTTTTAAAGATTGCCTGAGCTAAATTTATTTCCCTCCCTCCCTCTCTCTCTTTCTTTCTTTCTTTTTGCCAGTCTTCTGATTTTAAAAGAAAACAAAATACAACAGTAGACGTGGCAACAAAATGAAACAATAGAGTTGCTGTGTCAACCAAATAAGATATATGATTTAGAATTTTTTTCAAATGTTTTTTAACTTTCTGTAACTGTATGTTTAGACAAACACATATTCATAGATCCACTCAAGACATTATCTACAGTTATAAAATACATGTTCCTTTCCAGCCCTGCCCTCATTAGATATGACCTCCGCAGGGATAAGCCATGATGAGAGCAATTTGGGATCTGTAAGATGATGCCATTCATGGTACTTATTTGTTTTGGTAAAGTTTTATTTAAACTTAAAGTGGTAACACACTGCAGTATATCTAATCCATATGCAGTGTCTGCAAATGTATACAGGTTTTTAGTTACAAAGGGGACTAGAATTTTAGGGTATATTTATCAAAGTGTGTTTCTCTACAGGAAAGTAATGATTATTTACAGATATTTTCCGTGGGTTGCCTTTTCATTCTCTTGATAGTATCTTTCACAGAGCAAAATCTTTACATTTGATCAAGTCAAATTTACCAACTGTTTTCTTTTATGTATTGTGTTTTTGATGCTGTATTTAAGAACACTTTTCTTAACTGAAGATCACAAAGACTTTCTGTGCTTTCTTTTAATGTTTTATCATTTTATATTTTGCATTTAGGTCTGTGATCAATTTTTGAGTTAATTTTTATATAAGGTAAGAGATATGGGTCATGGTTCTATGTCAATGTCCAATTGTTCCAGTACTATTTTTTGAAAAGATTGTCCTTTCTCCACTGAATTGTCTTTGCACCTTTGCCAATAATTTACTGACCATATTTGCATGGGTATATTTCTGGATTCTTTATTCTGTTCCATTGATCTGGTTGCCTATGTTTTTACCAATACCTCACTCTCTTAATTACTGTAGCTTTATAGTAAGTCTTGAAATCATGTTGTTTGAGCCCTTCAGCTTTTCTTTATTTTCAAAACAAAACCAAATTTTTTAAATGGGCAACAGATTTGAACAGACACTTCACCAAATAATATACAGTTGATCCGTGAACAACATGGGTTTGAACTGCACAAGTCCACTTATGTGCAGGTTTTTTTCAACCAAAGATGAAGTGAGGCCAGGCATGGTGTCTCACACCTGTAATCCCAGTGCTCTGGGAGGCTGAGGTGGGTGGGTCAACTTGAGGTCAGGAGTTTGAGGCCAATCTGGTCAATATGGTGAAACTCTGTCTCTATTAAAAATACAAACATTAGCCTG